GCCAATTTATGTGCATATTGACACAAAGCTGGAACCCGTACAGTACCACTCCAATTGAACTGAAATTAGAACAAATTCATTGTTAACATTGAAAAGTTAAAAAGGAAAAAAAATGTCTCATGATCTTAAAAAGAGTTACGAATGCATACATAGAAGTATGTGAAGCGGAATGTCAACATTTGCAAGCGATCTGGTGGCAAACCGAATGTGTCATGGATGACATTGAAGCCTGTTGGCGTAACAGTTCCTTCACGTACCGATTGTGGAATCAGGAAGAAATCATAGCTTTAAATAAATAAACACATATAAATTTATGAATGAAATGAAATATGGAAGAAATTGGAAATAAAAAAGCATGCACTTACCGCTCAGGCAATGTTATGATGTCATCTACACATGTGCCAGGATCCGGATTTTTACGATCGAAGAAAATGCGTGTATTGATGCGTTTTGTGACGATCATATAAAGGAATGGTGGTTCACCTTGGCCAAGACGTTCGTAAACCTCTTTTAGTGCCTTTTTAATGTTAACCAATTCGTTTTCCAAAACGTAACGAATTTGACCATCGCCAACTCCATCGCGGAAGAACATAATTTTGGCTGGCAAAGCTCCGTTGATTTCTTGGAATTGTTTCACGGCCGCAACAATTTGAAAGCCCAAAAAGTTGGACAATTCTTCACCGCTTTCATGACGATTGACAGCGCTGAAAAATTCATTGTTTTGATTTTTCAGATCCATGGTAGCCACCATTGCACCCCATGAGTATTTCTTATTTTTTGGGTCATGACATACATCATAACCAACCGTCATGAGGCCAGAGATCGGCACTTCAATTAACCTGTGACGAAAATGAATTGGTATAGTTTCAAGATGGCTCAATTTCTTCAATTCTTTCTACACTTCCCTTCTTCACTTACCATGGTAGTCCTCCAAGCTTAGCATTCATCTGAATGGCTACTTTTGTTGCAACCGACAACAATCCCGAAATACCCTTGGTTTTGTCTTTGGGTGTGATGGTTTTGGCTACCATCACCTGACTTGGCAAACCATAGTCCAAGTAGCAACGTTTCTTGATTGTTGCATAGCGATCACCTTGATTGTTTGATACAACACACATTATGAGTTGCGGATTTTGGTTGGCCAATTCACCAATCTTTGAGGAAATCGCTGTTTGTGTATCAGTCGACAATTCTTCGCTGTATTAAGGAAACCAAAATCTCGATTGAAATATTTTCACAAATTCAGATTTAATATCGACTTACATTCGAGGATTTCCAATGTTGAAACGCATTCCACTGCCAGCACGCTGTAAAGCCTTTACGAAGTCTTCAGCTTCCTTTCGACAGCGACTTGGTGTTATTATATACCAACGCTTCAATTCGACGCAGTGAGCCATTGAATTGTTGCGAAATTCGCTTTGCCAATCGGCACGGACATTGGTTTGCACCCTAAATGAAACAAAACAATGAAAAAGTATGTTCAATTTGTGTGTTCAAATAAATATCGATAAAACATACGTCTTGTTGTTGCCAAACAAAATTTTTGGATATGGTAAAATTCGAGCTGGAATTTTGACCAATTCTGGTTCCAAACCAAGGCTCCAATCGGCAAGATGTTGGGAGCTGGCCGGTGTTTGGTTCAATCGTTGATTGAATTTCAACAAACGATCAATACGTCCGGCAGGTGCCACTTTTGTGTATTGAGCCATGTCACGCATTGTTCTGTCAAAAAATAAGAAAGAAATACAATAACTCTTTCTATATATAAACTGATGATAATTTAAGAAAGAACTCACTTGAAATTCGATCGCATTTCTTCGGTCAGACCGGTTGCGTAGCACAGCTCAGGAACTAGCAATACTTCGGACAAACCGCCACGTCTATCTTTCTCTTTCAAATTGGAAAGCAACATCGGTTGATTTTGGTCTCGAATTTCGATGTTGTATTTTTTCTAAGAAAATTGAAAAACAACGATGAATGAATGAAAAATTGACGTGCGAAAAATGTGGGTTTATCCTGAAATATTAATTACAATTTAAAAAATTCGCACCTTATAATAGTCGATGTACGAAACATCTTCTTCGCGCATTTTGAATGTGTCCCTCGGTTTGATATCGAAGGTGATTTCATCGATGCGATAGGTTTTGTTGTTGTATTTAGTCAAAACCGTCGTGCCAAGCAACACTTGTTGTGCGGATGTTTTGAAATCACG